TCCCTCCCTTCCTTCCTTTCTTTTCCTGAGACAAGGTTTCTCTGTGTAGCCCTGACTGTCCTGGAACTCCCTCTATAGACCAGTCTGGCCTCAAACTCACAGAGATCCACCTGCCTCTGCCTCCGAGTGTTGGGATTAAAGATGTGCACCACCACCATCGGGCCTATTTTTGCTTGCTTGTTTGTTTGTTTGTTTTTTGCAGTTCTAAGATTGAAGCCAAAGATCTTACCTATGAGCTACAATCCCAACATGAATAGAAAAATAAAATGCTTTTAGAAATCTTTGCAGCTTTTCGTTACTGGGATAAATCTTTATTTTTAACACCTTTGTAGGTCAGGAATGTAGCTCAGAGAGAGCGCACACTTAGGCTGCATAAACCTTTGATCATCAGTGCCAGAAATTTAAAATAATGTAAAATGGACAATAAGGCCAGCCTCCCACAAAAGCGTGAGCACAGGAGAGGAATGAATGTGTTTGCAGCCTGAGGCCAAAGCTAAGAGGATGAATACTCAGGGGAGACAGATACCAGGGGTGCAAATCAGGGAACCCGTAGCCCACGATAGTAAAAAGAGCTTGGGGTTCGCTCTAGGAGCACACACCACCCAAATGTGCCTAAAACTGCAGACATGGCTGCCGCCATTAAAATGGGAAAGAGTGCCCTTGCTTTCTTCTCATGTCCCCTCCTGGCGTATATTTCAAGGATATGTAACTCTGTGGGAATTTGTTCCTGGGGAGGAAGGAAGGCAGGTGGCTCATGGATGTGTTCTGTTATTTAGTGTGATAAGAGAGATTACAACACCAATCCGCTGGTGGCTTCTTCTTCTTCTTCTTCTTCTTCTTCTTCTTCTTCTTCTTCTTCTTCTTCTTCTTCTTCTTCTTCTTCTTCTTCTTCTTCTTCTTCTTCTGGTCCTCCTCCTCCTCCTCCTCACCCTCCTCCTCCTCCTCCTTCTCCTCCTCCTCCTCCTTCTCCTCCTTCTCCTCTTTCTCCTCCTCCTCCTCACCCTCCTCCTCTTCTTCTTCTTTTGAGAAAGGGTGTAATAAGTGGGGCTATACTGGCTGCAACCTGGACACCCTCTGCTTCAATTTCCTGAGTGTTGAGATTATATGCATGTGCCCCATACCTAACAGTGCTACACTGTCTTTTAAAAGCTAATCCCAGCACACAGGAGGCAGACGCAAGCCTCTTTCTGAGTTCAAGGCTAACCTGGTCTATATAGTGAGTTCCAGGACAGCCAGGGCTAAACACAGAAACCCTATATCAAAAAACCACAGAGAGAGGGAGAGAAAGAGAGAGAGAGAGAGAGAGAGAGAGAGAGAGAGAGAGAGAGAAAAGGGGGGAGGTTATCCTTTGATGCTGACCTTTAGCTTGGTTGTGTGGTGGATGATGTTGATAAAAGTTATCGTTTGAAAGGAATGCCAGGGTCCAGTTCCCCAGGAACCAGAAAAACCCTGCTTCTCTTATTAGAAGTTTTTGAAACCCTAAAATTTGATATAACCAGGTATGGTGATGCTTGCCTATAATCCCAGCACTCAGGAGGCAGAGGCAGGTGGACCTCTGTAGGTTCCAGGCCAATCTGATCTATATAAAGAGTTCCAGGCCAGTCACAGGCACATAGTGAGAACTTGTCTCAAAAGAAAGAAAGAAGAAAGGAAGGAAGGAAGGAAAGAAGGAAGGAAGGAAGGCAGGAAGAGATTTGATATGATTTCTCTGATCAAATATTATAGTAGCATATGCATCCTAGTACACGTGTTACAGTTTGGTCTTTTATTTCTTTTCTTCCTTAGATCCCAAGAGATGACCCGAAGACATTTAAACCTTGGTCTATACCTATAGCTTAAGCTGCCGTCCTTTCCTAAGAGGTAAGATCATTAAACTAAATGACAAAACCTCCAAGAGAGGGGGAGGGGGTTTTCAAACTATGTTCCATGGCACCCTAGATTTATGCAATGTTTCATCAAATCGCTGTATCTCTGCCGACATTTTAAGTTGCCACATTGGGCATTCCTGGCTTTGAATAATGACGATGCCGGTCAGGAGATTATAGCCAACGCAACAGTTTTCCTTTTTCTTTTTAAATCAAATAAAAAAATGAGAATGTAATAGATCAAGACATTTTAAACATTCTGTTCTCTGATTTGTGAGAGATACTTGCAACTTAAATGCAAAACTGAAGCCCAATCTACTGGTTTCTGGCATTCTGACTAACTGCTGCCCTCTAGAAGAGTCACAGACATATTTGCGGACCGGGGTGGGGGGTGGGGTTCAGCTACTTCAATTTTGTGTGGCCACCTGAAGGCTTTGGAGAGTGTCACTGAGTGTTGTCATCGTCAGAAAGTCAAATTCCGGGGGCTTAAGATTGCTCCATGGGTAAGATGCTTGCCAGACAAGCCTAGAAATCTGAGTTCAAATCCTCAACACCCATGTAAAAGTGGTGGCGTCTATAAACTCAACACTGAGAGGCTAAAATGGCTAATTCTATTCAATGAAAGATCCTGGTGGCAGGGGGTGGGGTGAAAGGGATGGAGAGATAGCTCAGTGGTTTAAGATCACTTATTGTTCTTTCTTTCTTTTTGAGATAGGGTCTCACTATGTATCCATATCCATGGTTGGCCTGGAATTCATAGAGATCCGCCTGCCTCTGCCTCCAGAGTGCTGGGATTAAAGGTGTGGGCCACCCTTCCAGCTCACTTATTGTATATCACACACACACACACACACACACACGGAAGGGGGGAGAGTAGCTCTAAAAGGCCAGATAACACATGGCTATCATCCTAGTAATTGAGAAGTGAGGCAGGAAGATCAGGAGCTGGTTTGCATAGCAAGTTTGAGGATAGCCTAAGCTACATGAGACCCTGTCTCCAAAAGCAAAACGGAGAAAAGAGGGAGGGGGAAGGAGAGCGATCTCAGTGGTTAAGAGCATGTGCTATTATTCCCCCAGAGCTGAATTCCCAGCCCTCAATGCCTGTAACTTCAACTCCAGGGGATCTGAAGCCTCTGGCCTCCACAGGCACACACACACACACACACACACACACACACACACACACACACAAATGCCCATGCACAAACACAACCTTGGAAGAACTTTTGATTAAAATCAAACCTTGGAAGAAAGGACTATGTCATCATCAGCGAACTGCGTCATCAACTTTTGCGCAGTCTTGAAAGTTAGGACCATCTACAGATGGCAAGACAGATGTAGAGAAAAGGCACTGGGGTTGGAGATGTAGCTCAGGGATGAGTGCTTGGTTAGGCAGGAGGTCAAGGGAGACGGAGAGGGGAGGCAGGAGGGGACCGTGAAGAGAGAAACAAAAACAAAAATAGAACCTCTTGTTATTTTACCATTTACCACTATTTCCGTGTTGGGATTTTTTTATACTGTATAATTAAAATATAACTACGTATTTCATTCTTCGTATCTCTCACCTGTAATTTCAACTCCCTGAATTCCTCAGAGTAGCTCCTGCGTTTGCTTTATAAGCAAATATTAAACATTGGTGGTTTACCTCTCTCTGGGTGTGGCTTGTCATCTCAGCGAGTGAAAGATGGGGACAAGAGGACCTGGAGTCCAAGACCAGCATCAGCAACATATTAAGGTCCAAACCTGCCAGAGCTACATGAGACCAAGTCTCTAAAAACAGAGTTGGCGAAGTGGCTCAGTTCAGTGGGTTAGGGTCCTGTTACGTGAGTTTGGCCTCTCGGAAAAATGTGGTCAGAAAGAGCAGACTCCATCAGATTGAACCAAGCCCCACAGGCAGTCCTCTCACCTCGAAACCGGTCATCAGGCCAGGTGCCCCCACCACCCGTCCATCTCACCAGCTTGCCTCCACCACCCTCTGTTATTTTTTGTAGACGGGGTCTCGTGTAGCCCAGGCTGGCCTTGAACTGCAGATCCTCTGGTCTCCAAGAATCTTTTTTCTTTAACTTGAGGGAGTTTTTGTGCTGTTAATAACTATTCTCTTTTCTCCTCCCCTAGATACTTCAGGACTCAAGGGAAAAGACACAGAATCCTAACTGGACTCCAGACTGATACTCATATACTCTAGGGTGGGAGGGAAGGGTGAGCTATGCCACAAAGTTTAAAAGTTTAGAAACACTATTCAAACCTAACTGCATCAGCAAGATGAATCATTTCTTACAAATGAGTTACTTAGTGTCCTCAGCCTAGAGGCCACCCGGCAAGCACTGCAACGATTGAAGCATGTTTGATGATTTGTCTCTAAAAAGACTGAGTATGTGTTGCTGGAGAAGGACCGAAAAGGAGACCAGGTGGCAGCCGCCATCTTTGCCTGGAAGACCCTCCCTGCAGATAAACACGTGATGACTTTGCCCAGTGATTTGCTGATGCAGGAGCCACTGAACCCCAGCAAGAGCGTGGTTTCTGCAAGGTTTAGTTTGCTTTTCACCAGGGATCGGCTGTGGGTCTGCGTACATTGGTTTAACAGAAACGTAGTGGGATTTTCCTTGTGTTAGATGATCGTTCAGTACTTGAGCATTCCCTTTGGAATTTGAAGGAGAAAGAAAAAGATAGTATATAGACTTTTGAAAGGAATGTCACAAAGTGTTTCCTTTTTTTTTTTATTTCTGTGGGTTTTTTTTTCCTGAGGGGGAGAAGGTGTTTGTTTTGTTCTTTGCTTTTTTGCTTTTGCTTTTTATGGAAAGCATCTGATCTGATAGGAGAGCCCGAGAAATACCGGATGACTTGGTTTCCCATGCACTGGCATAGGTAACAGAGTAAATGGATCATAAATTGAAATCAACTTTGACCTGGGGTTTAAGATATTTGAAGTTAAAATGTAGGTAGGTGATGGGGGGCGGTTGTCTAGTATGTCCTATGTCAGTCCTGAGTTTGATCCCCAGCACAACAAAAAGCAAAACTAAAAACGATAAATGATAAAATACACAGGGTCCATGGTCATCCAATCTGGGTTTTAAAAGCATTCAAAGGAGGAGAAACAGCATCTAAATTAACCAGAGAGTCGAGGGGAAGGCTGACAGTCAAGATTCTTAGGTCCTAGTGGGCAGTCCAGAAGGGGGCAGAGAAGGTGAAGTTGAGCTGAGAGCAAGGGATGTCTGGTACAGGGTGGATGAGAGGTGCAGGGGGCTGGGGAAGGAGGCTCTGTCACTCAAGGCCACAGACACGTTGGCTTGCAGGGACCAGGGCGCAGCTGTCCACAGGTCCATCTGCCAGCTTTAGCGGGTCCCCTGCCTCAGGAGTCCCAGGGAGAAAGCAGCAGAAGCTCAGAAGACAGACTGGAGCAGGTCAGAGGCAGGACAAGCTAGGCAAAAGGATAAGAGGGGCGTTGAGATTTTTGGAGGGCTGAGGTGAAAAATTCAGAATTAAGAAAACAAATCTAAGCCTTTTAAAAAACAAATACCTTAACTTAAAATCTAATGATAATTTTCAAAATTTGCTTTATCATTTATATTATTAAAATGGTTATCCATATAGTTGGGTTTTTTTTTAAAAAATTGGTTTCTTGGGGATAAGGGTAGTTACTGGAAATGTATTTTCTTTGTAATGGGTGAGGACTTCTAAATACTAAAATGAGTAAGGCCTGCACACAAATTATTCCTGTAAATTGATGTAATAGAGCCTGCAGAGTATAAATCTTAATAAAGTACTTTTTAAAATCCTATTTGCTTCAAGGCCAACCTGGTCTACATAGTGAGTTCTAGGCTAGTCAGTGCTATTGTCTCAAAAAAGAAAAAAAAATGACATTTGAAGTCATATACTTGAAACTTGTTCTCTGAGTTTATCAGCAGCCCGAGACACAGGAGACAGAGCCACACACAGCAGCCCAAGACAGGAGACAGAGCCCCACACAGCAGCCAGAGACACGGGAGACACAGCCGCACACAGCAGCCAGAGACACGGAAGACACAACTGCACACAGCAGCCTGAAACACAGACATACACTGATGCACACAACTGCACACAGCTGCACACAGCCGCACACAGTAACCCATGCATTCTTTCCAAAGACCTCAGCTCAGGGAAAATTAGGATTCTTGATGTTTGCTTCAGAAAGCAATTTAGGATGAACGGCATGAACCAGAGTTGGAGTTTATTAAGTTTTTTTTTTCATTTACTTTTATGTGTGAGTGTTTTTCCTTTGTGCATTCCTGTGTATGGCATGCATGCCTACTGCCCTTGGGAATCAGAAGGCGGCACTGGATCCCCTGGAAGTGGGGTCACACATGCTGTGAGCCACCAAGTAAGTGGGTGTTGGGAACCGAACCTGTGTCCTCTGAGAGCAGCAAGTGCTCTGAGCCACTGAGCAACCTCTCCAGCCCGCCCCCCACCTTTCACTCTTTGTACCATCAGAAACCACTCATCCTAAATACCCATAGAGTACTGTCAAGATCAGAGCTACCCTCAGAATGACCACATGTCACAATATTGGAGAAAAACCTAAGATTAAAAGAAGAAGGAGGAGGAGGAGGAAGAGGAGGAGGAGGAGGAAGAGGAAGAAGAAGAAGAAGAAGAAGAAGAAGAAGAAGAAGAAGAAGAAGAAGAAGAAGAAGAAGAAAGAGAGAAAGGAAGAAAGAAAGAAAGAAAGAAAGGAAGAAAGAAAGAAAGAAAGAAAGAAAGAAAGAACTGGGCCAGCAAGATGACTCAGCAAATAAAAACAACTGTCACCAAGCCTAAAGACCTGAGTTCTATTCCTGGGTACCTCATGAAGGAGAGAGCCAACACAGGTTTTCCCCTGATCTCTACATGTGTGCTTTGGCACGTATAACACCACCACACATAATTAAATAAATGCTTTAAAAAAAAAGATTTATTTATTTATTTATACAGTGTTCTGCCCACGTGTATGTCTGCAGGTCAGAGAAGAGCACCAGATCTCATTACAGATGGTTGTGAGCCACCATGTGGTTGCTGGGAATTGAACTCGGGACCTTTAGAAGAACAGCCAGTGCTCTTAACCTCTGAGCCATCTCCCCAGTCCCCAATGCTTTTTTTTTAAGCACCTAATTTCTGCCCCTGTTTTGTTTTGATTTTTTTTTTTGAGTCCTGGAACTCACTATGTAGACCAGGCTGCCGGAACTCGCAGAGATCCGCTGGCCTCTACTACCCAAGTGCTTGGATTAATTAAGGTCGTGCACCACTACACTCTGCTAGCCCCTGTTTTAATATTTGCTATTTTCCTTTTCTCTGTTTAGGTGATTTTACCCTCTTTCCTACCGTCGGCAGCGGCTTGATGCCTATGCTGATAAGAAACAAATTATTTGGGGAGAGAGGATTGACTTTTTGAAGCACATTCTACTATGCAGCTCACGCTGGCTTAGAACTTGTGGCACTCCTCCGTCAGTCTTCTGAGGGCTGAGGTTGCAAGCCCCTGTCACCATACTCAACTGCGAGGAACTGTGATTCCTTTCTTTTTTGCACTGGACTCTCAAGAAGCCCAGGCTAGCCTTGAACTTGTTCTGTAGCTGAAAACACCTTGAGCTTCTGAGTCCTGAGTGTTGGGATCGCAGACAAGAACCAGTACACTCCAGTCTTATGTCGTGCCAAGAAGGGCCAAGGCTTCTGGCATTCTAAGCAAGAACTCTTCCTCCTAAGCCATCTCTGCAGCCTGGAACTGTAGCTCTCAACTCACATCTTGGACTCTACGGATCCTCCTATTTCTCTGCTTCCCAAGACCTGGGCACATGGGAGATATTTGCACTCTCGTCTTTCTGAGCCTAGGTTCTCTGAAAGGGTTTTCTCTGACAAAAGAAAACAGCCTGCTCCTAGCTCCATTCCAGAATAGCAATTAATTAATTAATTAATTAACTAACTAAGAAATTAATACTCGATCCATCTTACATAATGGGGAAAATAACCCAAAAGATATAGTTTCCAATTTTTACGATGCCAAAAAGTCAAAGAGACCTGGCAGAAATAGTTGGAGACAGAAAATAATGTTCTTCTCACACAACCTGGAAAGCCAACGCCAAACTCTCTGAATACAAAACAGTAGCTCACTCCCTTCCCATGCAAGGGTCACCATAACACAGCCCTCCTGTTCTGTTCATTTTTGATATCAGTTTCCAGCTAGTTGGCTTTGCTCCAAAACATTCTGCACATCGCTGCCTGGATAGCCTTCCTCAACATATATAGTCACCCACACCCATTACCACTGGGTAAAAGAGGATGGGTGGGGGTGACTTTGTCCAAAGGTGCTGTTCCTGTTGTCTGTGTAGTGGTCACCAACACAGGAGGCCAGCCAAAAACGAGTCATTTTCCCCAAAGAAGAGACAAGGGAAGTCACCCACGTTCCGCCCTCCGTGTTACAGTTAGGCTGTTGGGAAAGGGAGAGAGTAAGCTAGCCAGTTTGGCTCTCGAGCAAGGTGCACAAGGCTAAAGGGAGTGTCTCAAAGGAAACTTCACAGTTCCTGATGACGAGAGACTCTTGCCGCTGTCTGGGAGGCTCCTGGGCTCTCGTGACTTCGTCCCTGCCAGGCTCCTGTGAGCCTGCATTCATTCCCCACAGCTTGCTGCTATCATGCTATCACCAATGTCCATGTGTTGGGTAGCTTAAGCCTCCCTCCCTCCACAGCTCGAGAGGCTGGGAGACTGTCTCTCCCCCCCCCCACACACACGCACTATCAGTGAGACCATGGGTTCCCAGGCAGCATCTTTCCCAGCCTCTTCCGGCGGCTCCTAGCGCTCCTTGGCATTCTCTTCCCGAGGTTGCATCACCGGTCTCTGTCCCCATTACGACACAACGGTCCCAGTGCGTCTTTGTGCAATTTCCCCTCCGCCCCCCTTTTTCATAAACACGGCATTCATTGGACTTAAGGCCCACCCTCGTCAGCATGACCTCATCTTGACTCTGTCTGCGAAGACCCAGTTTCTGAATAAGGTCACACTCTAAGATTCCAGGTGGTCGTTAAGTTTGGGGGGGAAGGGTGGGACACTTTTACACAATGTATAGACCCTGCTGAGGCTCACCAATACAAGGACAAGTGAACCTGTCTTTTGGCGAGTCTTACAGTGTTCCTGCTGATCCAGGGGCTGTGGACTGTCTGTGTTCATTCTTCACCAGAATGAGATTTACCGTGCTTGATTAAGGAAGGCCAACTGAAGTACTCCACTATGACGCAAAATGTGGGTTCAAGCCGAGTGTAGCGGTGCATGCCTTTAATCCCAGAACTCGAGAGGCAGAGGTAGGGGGATCCCCGTGAGTCAGAAGCCAGTTTAGTCTACATAGTGAGTTCCAGGACAGTTAGGAATGCTAAAAGAGACTGTCTTGAAAATAAAAAGCTCGCTCCGGCTTGTGCAGCTCGCGTTCAGGCGAACCGGGAGAGCCAAGGAAGATGAAAGGGGAGTGATGGCTGAGAGGAAGAAACCAGGCTCGGGGGCAGGGAGTGTGGACTGGCTATAGAGTGCTTGTCAGCACGAAGTAAAACAAGATGTGGGGTCGCAGCCTGTTACCCCAGCACCTGGGAGACGGAGGCAGGAAGTTAAGGAGTTCAAGGCTATCCTTAGCTACATAGTGAGGTTGAGGCAAGGCGGGGCTACTTGAAACCCTATCTCTCAAAGAAAAAGGAAAAGAAGGAAGGAAAGGGAGGGTCCTAGAACATGTCACTATTACCTCTTCTTCACCTAGAAGACCAGGCACAGACCCTGCTAGGGAGTTCTTCCAGTGCATTTCCCGACAACACTCACGTCTGTTCTGTTCACCTTTTTTTCTTAATGTCGCTCTTCCTAGGCTTCTCAAACACTCTGAAGCCATAAAACCCCAGTGTCCTTTATTTAACCGAGGACTGTAAGTTCTTCACGGAACTCGTCCTAAAAGTATGTTGAAAGTAGATGTTGAACTATTGTATCGCACCCCGTAAATATGACAATGATTTGTGATAGGAAAGGGAATGTGACCGGAAGTCAGAGTAATGGGCACAGAAAACCAGTGGCGGATTTCACTTCGGCACTGATTAGTTTCCTGGCGTTGTTCTGGGTGAGACTTACTGGTCAGTGCCCTCCAAATACACAGTTTTCTGCCCTGCTCAAGCTCTCAAAGCACACAAGTGCCAGAAGATCTGGGAACCCCTCCCAGACAGGACTTCGTCTCCGTGTGTGTGTGTGTGTGTGTGTGTGTGTGTGTGTGTGTGTGTGTGTGTGTTACTGGGCATTAAACCTAGGACGGTGTGCATTCCACCAAATGAGCTACAACCCCAGCCCCTAAAGACAGTTTTAATACTGCATCCGAGGACCGGAGCGATGGCTCAGACAGTAAAAACCCTTGCTAGACCTGACTAACCTGAATGACTCCCAGTAACTGTGGCGGAAAAAGAGAAGCAGCTCCTCCAAGGTGTTCTCTGACCCCCATAAACGTGTCGCAGCGTGTGTACACACATACTCTCTTATCCAAAGTGTTTATGGGGATGTCTTCTTACTCCGTCTTAAGCCTTGCCTTTCCTGCTGGAAGCTGGCAGAAGACACTGGAGAAATCCCCACGCAAGACTACTGTTTGCGTATACCTCAAGACCAGGGGGTTTTAGGCCATAAGGCATTTCACACCCGTGAAGCAGGAAGCAGGGCCCTGATCTGGCGCTTCCCATGCTTCCTCTCCTTCCTCTGGAGAGGAATGAGGAGATCCTTTGCAAGAGGCAAGTCTTCATAAGGAGGTCTCCACCACCAGAAAGC